GAAACAGGACGAAACAGCTGTCCAGTGCTCTTTGTTGGTTATCACAAACATTCCCATCGCATTTGAATGCATACAAACAGTGGGGAATTAACGATCTCCCGAGGAGTGAAACCCACACCCAAGACCATCAAGAGTGCCTGGTGCCTCTGAACAATCGAATGGGCTAATCCAAGCTTGATACTCTAAATATGTCACCTGTTAGCTCTATTCGAAAGCTCCCCACAAAATCCGATCTTTCATACGCGTTTCGGGAAAACGCTTGAGAATTGCGCAGCTCACTACAAATTGAAGTTAGGCTCTCCGCTGAATGCTTGGTCGTTCTATTAGATCAAGTTATGAATCCATGGTTGAACCGCGACAAGAAGGCTCTAGAACGTTCGCAAAGGTTGGCAGCAAAATTGGTAAAAGGTCTGTATCACAAGAAATACTCCGAAAGACTGCAAGCATTGGGACTCTACTCATCTCCAGACCGCCGACTTCGGGGAGACATAATCTTGGCATATTACATACTGCATCAAATCAATCACTATTTATCTCAAAACGATCACCTCAGGGAACATCCAATAAAGTTGAAGACTCAGAACAGCCACCTTGTTTGCTGGCACCACTCGTTTGCAGTCAGTGTGTGGCGTGTGAAATTCTCTTCCATCCGATGTGGTGTGTGCTCCTACAGTTGAACTATTTAAATCGCAACTTGATAAAGCATTGGAACACTTAACATTTGGACATCCGCGAGTGATCATACATATTATCATTATTATTCTATTTGTGAAGTTATTCAAAACATTCTGTAAAAATCCCATGGGACATGATAAACTTTAGCTTTGTCAAATCGCCCATAATAAAACTTTGCCTTTGATTGTTATCTGAAGATCCACTTCTGAGCGATGTTGATTGCTATTTTTCGAATAACTCAGACGCAGTTGTGATTGTGAATTTCTCACCACGTAACCTTTTCGTTTTTCCTTTAAACACTACCGTCAAACGGTGTTTTATTCAAAAATTCGGTGAGATTTTTATCCAAGTAAGCTTTAACCACTCATTCAGAACGGAGTCATAGCTTACATGAAAGTAGAATTTTAGTCTCCTAATTTACTCGGTACTTTTCATCGGGTGATGCTCAGCTAAAACATTATCCCCTTGGAAATAAAAGAGAATGAAGAACAAGTTCGCTTTTAGTTATTCACATTCATAAAAACCGCCTATGCACTACACTAAATGCGATGGAAATGTTTGTGTTAACCGATAAAGAGCACTGAACAGCTGCCTGGGACTCGTCAGCGGTGCATACTTTTTGCGTCCCTGTCATTACTCGAATCGCGACCTTCGGGTTGGGAATTCAAACCCTTACCTCTGAGCTACAATCAATTTATGTTATCAAACTTGAATTGGCCCATTCAATTGTTAATAGGCACCAGACACTGGATGTTCTTGGGTTTACTGGCCCCTGTATCCTCGCACTAGGACAGAGTTGTTATCAAGAAATGTGTTCCTTAGGAAACTGAAAAGAAAGAGGGCAGCTCCAACGAACAGCGTCTTCTATGGTTTGATATAAAATTGTGGCAAGCTCGAACACTCCTGCGATTAGTCGTATATAGCGATTGTACTATTGAAATAAACTTCTCCCCCATACCCTTCAAGACGAGAGCGATCTAAAGTACCGTGCGGTCGACTGAATCGAAGACCCCATTTAGACCAGCTTTGGTGGAAATTGTGGATCTACGGGAGGAATGTTTGTGTTCAGTAATTTGCCCACCAGATGCCTTTGAAACCATTTTGATTCACACGCGAGCATCGTTCTCGTGCAGCAGACAATCGACGGACTATGATGCCAGAGAGCAGTTTAGAGACGGGTTTTATCAACGTCAACACTAAGGTTGGTTCCGTATCGTTGAATGTAGTTGGGGATATACCAGCTGGGCGGACGCTTTATGCCTTTTCAGTTTTCTTGTTTCCCGAGTAACCTTCACCTCAGAAGGACAACTGACATTAACTTACACTGGTTGTACAATTGGGGCAGAAGTTGTTTAGTCCAATGTGGATCAAGACCACTTGAATGGTGCCTTGCAGTGTTCTTCGTATCGTTCCAGACGGCTGAGTGAACCCGCGTATCATTGAACGTATTAGTTACCTCAACGCTCTGATCAGTGGGAATTTCAATTTTTGTTTTAAGACGAAACCAATCCTGCATAATCTCTGTGGCAGCGGTCTCCGAAACCATGTTCTGTATCTTTTTTTACTGACGGTAGCTGTTTGGATGTACGCTTGTGAATCACGACTTTGTTTGGAGTTTTTTTGAGAATAATGCACCCAGTCGAGTGGTCGGAGGAGCACTGTACAATTGTCACCTAGCTACCTCAGCATGGCCAAATTGATGGAGAACCTAGGAGGGCCAACAGATTATTGACCCATGCGCGTCACGTGACACGTACGTGTTTAAACAAACATCGTGCTTATGAGTCGAGAGACCATGTTTTGCGATGTCATGTTGCCAAGTGGTGAACAATTTTTTCCATTAAATCATTAACTCGAGGGCACCCCGGATTTTATGTCAATCAGTTAGCAACGCGGACATGATCGTAACAAACACCGTAAGTTTCCACTATCGTGTTTTTCGCCCTTGTGAGAGAAAGTGAATCAATGATTTAATATCGTATGATTCTTGCCCGGTCGGTCACCGTTCCTTCTCGTACAAAGCGTAATCGATCAAGGATAAAACGGTCTTGGTGATAAGAGCCAGACTATTTTCAATCCGTTCGTTTATCACGTTTTTTACCGAAAAAAATCGATCTGTTCCGAATGAAAGGGCGTAGCGTTTGGCCTTATCTCAACGACTGCTTGGGCCCATCGTGTCGCTACGGTTTCTACCAGGTAATTCACTAAAACGAAAACACTGCTAGGTGGAATTTGCAGCTGCGATTCGTTTACCCTTTTATCTGACCAAACTGCATTCGGTGATCACAACTCAAGCCCCCGAATGGTTTGTGCTTCTGATGCGCAAAGCCGGTCACTTTATTTTGACCTCTTGTTACTCTTGTAAAACACGTCACATGTGTCAGTCCATGCAAGATACACTCAAAAGACGACTAAAAAGTGAGTTCGGCTTGGTTGAATGCGTCAGGTTTGAGTAGTTGGGAGATGTGCGAATAACTCGGGCGTCTCAATCCGTTGGAGAGAAAACCGGCCACTGCATGTTTCTTTCATGGTACAACAGGAACAACTTT